GGAGAAATACTTAAATGGGGAGAAGTTGGCTTTGCCAGAAATAAAATATTTGCTTCGCCGGGCAACTTTAAGTGCTAATTGTTATCCGGTTTTTTGTGGCTCGGCTTTTAAGCATGTGGGAGTAAAATTTCTCTTAAATGGGATAGTTGATTACTTGCCTTCGCCGCAAGACATGGCCGCAGTCTCAGTTCTGCAACCGGGGGGGAAAACTGCAACCAAATTAGCAGCGAATTCCAACTTACCGTTAGCTTTGGCTTTTAAAATCGATTTTGATAAATTCAGTAACCAACTTACTTTTTTACGAGTTTACTCAGGAAAAATTTCTTCTAATTCCTATGTTTATAACGTCAACCGGAAAAAAAAAGAAAGAATTAGCCGGTTGGTGCGAATGCACGCTGACAAAACTGAGGAAATTAAACAAGTTGGAGTAGGAGATATTGCTGCTGCCTATGGCTTGCGGCAAACTGTCACCGGCGACACTCTGGGGTCAGAAAATAATCCGCTACTTTTAGAAAATATCGAATTTGATAATCCAGTTATTTCCTTGGCAGTAGAAGCCAAGACTAATAAGGATAATGACAAATTAAGTGAGATTCTAAAAAAATTAATTATTCAAGACCCTGGGTTGCAATACCAAATTGATAAAAAAACCGGACAAATGTTGCTTTCGGGACGAGGAGAATTACACTTAGACGTTTCCGTAAAAAGATTGCGAGAAAACGGGATTGAGGTTAGCACCGGTCAACCCAAAATTTCTTATCTAGAAACTATTGAAAGACCGACCGAAACCTGAGCCGAATACAAAAAACAATCCGGAGGACACGGACATTTTGCCCGCATATTGATTCGTTTTGAACCTAATCCGGGGCAAGGTTTCGAATTTGTTAATGCTATTCGTGGCGAAGCTGTGCCCAAAGAGTTTGCCGAAGCCGTGAAAGACGGTTTGGAAGAAATTATGGCTTCTGGTTTGCTTCTAGGTTATCCAACCATCGATGTCAAAGCTACCTTGCTCGACGGGAAAACCCACCCGGTCGATTCGGCCAAATTCGATTTCAAGGAAGCTGGCATTTTGGCTTTTCGCGAAAGCAAGGAAAAAATGGGACTAACTCTCTT